CTGAGTACGACAAGTATAGTTGGTAAAGTGTAAGCTATAATAAAAGAGCGTAGCTTGAGTACTTTGCAAATTGCGTGTATCCTTGTATCTTCCATATACAGTATATCACTACTCAACGGCTTGTCCTTGAACTAATAAGCAATTCGGTAGCGAAGCTACAGATATTGTCGTAGTGTACTAGTTCTTTCTAGTATAGACAATATCATACTTTGATATAGACAGGCTACTATAGACTACAGTACTATATTAGTTGATGAATGATAATCGGTAAAACTTTAAAGACTTTGATGATTTGAAAGAACTTGCCGCAAAATCAAAGGAGAAGGATAGTGACTTTATGTATTTTTTTTTTTTTTTAACGTAGAGAAGAGTTTCAGGCGAAGGTGATTGACTACCTTATTCGCGTGTGGATAATTTGAAAATTGACTCTTTGTAGTGCTATTCACCGTAGTTTGAAATTGCGATTGCTAGGATACACAAGAGGTAGAATTGATGGATCGCCAACATATCCGTATTTACACATAATGGAATAATAACCATGTAGTTAGAGGTGGAATTGAAATGATACCGCAGCGCAACATTCTAGATTACTTTTAATCTGTAAAGTCTTTGAAATAGGATTTATATCGAAATATTTGTAATTGGTAATTAGTAATAAAAATGTTGACGCAATATCTATTGCTAGGCTCCAAACTGTCTCGATAACATGATACTGTATATAATTTGTTGCTTGTATAACGAAACTTTACTTACTTACAAAGTATTACCGTAGAAATCTAGTGATGGAATGACGCTGGTAATTTACAGTGCTATATATGAGGATCACAAGACCCTGCCGTTAGTAATTGATCAATACAAAACTTCTTTAGTCTATTTCAGTAAGAACTTTGTGAATGAATGATCAACATTTCAATTCTTACAGAGTATAAAAGAAATTCAGGATAATATAGAATTTGTTTGTACAGTGCTAGATACCGAAGATAGTAGAAAAACTTGCAATCGTTTCGGTGGCTACTCAAAAAAGAGAGAGAGAAAGTGGCATAGTTGTGCCAGACGATTCGATAACCTATGTGATCGATGATTTTTGCGCCTACTTTAGTTGAACTTACGTACTGTATATCGATGTCGCTATTATGATTATTAATTAGGCCTCTTTCGTTTCTGATTTCGAATATTAAGGATATACGAGTGTACAGTATATAGACTATCCTCGTATAGTAGATATTTGTGTGAGAGTTTGACGATCTGCTTGTTGGCTGAATCATACTATAAATACCAACTCCAATTACGCTAGTCGATTTCATTAGGTTGATTAACAATAATATTCTATGTGCGAGCTTGTGATATTGATATTTGAAAGGTATGCTGGTAAATTACTATAGAATAAAAAATAAACTTGCTATTACAGATTGAATTGAGGGTTTTGTCAGTTTATCGGATAACGGCCAATGGTAATCGATTGGCTAAGTTGTTTAATGTAGAGCAGTATGATGACGCTGTATAATTTACCTATAGTCTAGATGCCAAAAGTTAGCCTAAGATACCCGCTCTAATACTATCGCATAAAATGATATTCAAGTGGATAGTACAACAGTGAACAAGTAGTATACAGTTGCGTAGCAGAACTACAGTAAAGTGTGATGATAGTAATTTTGCACTCAGTAACCTGGTTTTTACAAGGTTTCCCTCGGATAAGCACACTGGAGAACTTCGTTTGCGAGAGTGTAGTTTATCCAGTATAATGGGCTGGAACTGTCCAACTTGACTACATCACGTACTGTATTATATTGAATATCAATAGCGCATGAATGGGGGGGGGGGGAAATGCAATTTCAGGATCATAATTGGATTTGCGTTGCGCAAAATTGAATTTTCTTTTCCTTTTTTCGTATTGATTTTATTGGGATAGACTTCCATTTAAATCCGTCTTTGGATGAGTGGAATATTTAATTTTAAAGTTGGGATTCCCTGGTAGTATAGGACAGATGTGTTTAAGTTTTGTATTTTTTCCCGACGAAAAAACAGTGTAAAGACTAATTATAATGATAAAGAATAGAAAGAAAGTGGACGGTTTGCAGCAATTGTATGATACGACACGCTTCCCTTTTGCCAATTTAAGTGAATCTTGTACGACAGCATAATACATCGTTAGGACTCAATTGGGTAGAATGATTTGCAGAAATATTGACAATTCGTTTTCAGTTGTATTAAACGTCATCTTGTAACATCATTTTAGTCGTAGTTGATATAGTCAAAATAAACAGGATAATTGGACAAGTGGATTGAAGTCGATTTTGCTATAGTTTAGGTCAAAATGGCATGGATAAAAAACTAAGTAAATATATCGCTTAAATTACAATTTTACAATGTAGAATTATACTACCGGATATTGTTAAATTCTAATGCGAATCAAAACTAGTCGGGTTTACCATGTACTAAGAAATGCATTGAAATGGACGTACTGTAATCAACCTAAATTAGTTAGTGATCAAGCTATCATACTTGTTAAAATACACAGTCTTGAAGGAGAATTGGAAAAGAAAGTAACTTGTATTCAATCTGTGATTGGAAATTGAGCTATCTTTCACTTGTATCATTTTGACGGTTGGCAATTTTACTTGTGCCATTTTTATCATGATATTTTGAGCCATGTCATTGTTGCCGTTCAGCATACTGTCCATTTGATATAGTGGCAGAGTTTACTGAGTGAATAACAATCAAGTGTATACTAGTGTTTTAGTGGAATACTGTAAGCCAAATTCAGTACCCATATTCGATGGGATACTCCATTTGATAGTACAGCGTAAGACTCAGATTTGCACTGGATTGGACTAAGGCAATTTGTATTCGGAGTTGCTAGTCAACGCCAATCGGAATGGTGCGGCATGACAGAGTCAGTCAGGCGGAGTTGGGAGTAATGTATCTGACTCCAACTTGCCTGTAATACAGTATTATCCCATGGAAAGGACTTGACGAGAGCGCTTTACTGTGGATATTCATCTATCCTAAGAATAGAAGAAACGCCACAAAGCTCCCCCGTAAAATACTTTCCTTGTCAACGAAATATCCACTTCTGCATATCAGTGTGGTTGAAAGTTCCAGTCAAGCCGAAAGCCGAGTTGAACCCGACTGGAGGAAGGGAGTGAGGTTAAGTAACTGTTGGTGGAGCGATTGTAGTCAATTCGGCTTGGAAAATCAACCATTGGATGGGGGTTGTGTTTTTACTCCATTTAAGGACTGTCATGCATATGATATAGCTTTTGGAGTGGCATAAGTGAAGGACGACGATCGGTCTTTTGGACTTGTTTATCATCTTCGACTCCACCCGATAGGATGATAGCGCAGAAAAGGAAAAGACGATCTTGGGACTATGGAGAGTTGATTAGACTGCGCAACGTCCATACTGACCAGTGTACAGTATAGGTACGTACGTTGACGGTATTGTTGCAAGTTAATTTGCAGTTACTGCCCATTTCATGCTACAATCCAGTCGACGATTGGGTGAAGAGTACTATACTGTACAAATGGATTGTGTTGTGCGTTTGTTGACGGGTATTACGCAGGCAGTTATTATTAATTAAAATGTCCAATGATGAAGACAGTGAGCGGTAGTCATGGTAGAGGTCGACTTTAAGGTACACACAAGGAGTGGCTAAGTAAGGTAGAAGAGTCAATGGGGGTGAAAAAGTTGTTTTGTCTTGGTTTTCTAGCATCTGCAGTAGTAGGTGATGATCGTGTCGGTTGCAGCAACGTTGGAAAAGTGTTGTTGATCAGTTGAAGACAACAAGAGATGATGATTGCACTCGTCTTGTCTACACACTCAATTAACGGCAGTCAATTAAATCCATTGATTGATTAATTGACTTGCTCTA